CAAAAAATATTTCAATTTATTATATTGAATTAAAGCATTATTATGGCTTTATTGTTTACTTATTTTAGAAAATCAGTCATATTTGATATTACGGACATATCGTGTTAAAGAATTTAACATACATGTTTAGTGTTAAAAGAGCTTTTGGAGAATTTTATTGTCATTAATAATTAAAAAAACGGTAGCACAGTGGGGTCGAGGCACAGTGTAGACAAGGCATAGATGGGACAAGTATAGATGATATTTGACAGTGATTTAAATCACTATCATAAGAAACGCTTCGATGCAAATCTGTAGATAGTATTTCATTTTAAAAAAAAATTTGTTAAAATAGCATATTTTTGAATACGGTAGTAAGTTGAAAAAGTTATTTTTTGTAAAAAAGTTACTATTTTAAATCCCCCCAGTGAACAGAATAAGTGGTAGATTTCCAAAAAAAATTATATCAAATGAAAGGGAAATATCTAAGGTTTTAATACAAAAAAATATTATTTTTATTTGTTAATTTTTGAAAAAGTTATGGCAGTTTTAAGCACAAAAAACATCCCGATAAAAGGTAATTTTTATCGCAATCATTACATTTTTTTTTAATTTTCGACAGCCATTTGCACATAGAAGATAGATCGTCGGGACAAATTTTTTTTTTTTATTTTATAGTACATATAATAAGCTTTAATTTTATATATGTTTAAAGGACGCAGTATTTCCGGAACACTTTCAAAAGTTCAGTTGAAAAAGATCTATGTTTTTTACAATATTTCAAGTTTTGAACGCCCCCTATATAAGGGGAAATTGTCTAATTTTAATAAAATGTATTTCAGATGAAAGATGTACTTATAATGTATTTAGAAAAAAAAAAATTGTGCTGATACATACATTTTTCAAAAANTTTTTTTTTTTTTAATATGGCTTTATTTGAGTAATTACAATCTATACAATATGTACAATAAGCAATTATTAGAATATACAGACATAACATTTAAAACATGAAGAGGTATTCACACATTTGTGAAACCTCGTTGAATTTTAATTATCTGTTGGGCTTAGGTTTTCAAATCACGGCACCAGTTTCTTTTGAGGCGTCTGGTTGGGTTACCAGGAAGTGTTAGTGAAGCTAACTCATTGATTAGTTGGTTGGGGATATATTGAAGTTTGGCGTGGAAGCGTTTGTAGTAGGTAGCAGCAGTTTCGTTGATCGAAGGTAATTTGAGGTCAGCAGTTAAGATTGCGTTAGAGACGTACCAAGGTGCACCAGTAATTAATCGTTGACAGATGTTTTGAAAAGCTTGAATAGTTCTTTTATTTGAGGTCTTGGTAGAGCCCCAGATTACAATACCATATGTCCAAATTGGTTGTAGAAGAGTTTTATACAAAATGATTTTGGTGGAAGTGGTTAAGTTGGAACGTAGGAGTGGCCTTAAGAGATGGAGTCTAGAATTAAGTTTCTTTCGTTTGTCTTTAAGATGAAGAGACCAGGTTAGGCGCCTGTCAAAAGTAAGGCCAAGGTATTTAACTTCATTCGAGTGTGGAATGATAATGTTGTTGATAGATACAGCTGGGCAGTTATGGGGTCTGAGCGAGAAAGTGACAAAAGAAGATTTCGATTCATTGATTTTTATTTTCCAGTTGATGAACCATTGAGAAAGAGTGTTTAGGTGAGTTTGTATTTGTTGTGACGCAATAGTGCTGTCCGAAGAAACTGATAATAAGGCAGTATCATCAGCATATGTTCCGACTGTGGTATTTTCAGAGGTAGGCAGGTCAGACGTATATATGGTATATAAAAATGGAGCGATGTCGCTACCTTGAGGGACACCAGCAAAGATAGGATATTGATTTGAATGTTGCAGGTTGTGACGAACTTTAAATGAGCGGTTATCAAGATAGGATTTTAATATCAGGTATAGGGGAGCAGGAAATATTTTTTTTAGTTTAAAAAGAAGACCTTCGTGCCATACAGTGTCGAATGCTTTAGCGACATCTAAAAAGACTCCGGCGCAATATTTTTTGGTTTCGAGTGCTGATGAGATGATGTCTGCAACCCGATGAAGTTGATGAGTTGTGGCGTGGTGAGAACGGAAGCCAAACTGGAAGTTTGGAATACTATTATTTGCTTGTGCTATTGTGGTGATACGCTTGAGAATAATTTTTTCGAGAATTTTTCCAAGAACCGGTAACAGGCTAATGGGTCTGTAAGACGAGGGATTTTCTGGAGGCTTCCCAGGTTTGAGAACTGTGACAATGACTGAAGATTTCCAAGTAGTTGGGAAGTACGATAAACGAAGAGCAGCGTTATAAATATGTGTTAGATGAACTATCGCTTTTGTAGGGAGTTTTTTAACGACCTTGTTGGAAATCAAGTCATGGCCTGGGGATTTGTTGTGTAACAATTTTTTTATAATACTATTTATCTCCGCTGGGGAGGTTGGTCTTACAGGAAGAGACATAGGTAGAGTTGACTGGAGAGACTCCGTTACTGTCGTCATATGTGGTTCTGGTGTGGAAATGAGGTGTGGTTTGAATACTCTTGATAGTTCTTCAGCTAGGATATCTGCTTTTTCTCTGTCTGTGGTAGCAAGTGAGTTATCTGGGCGTCTTAGAGGAGGAGGCAATTCTTTAAACCGTAAAATTGATTTTGTTTTGCGCCACAGAGATCCGTTTTTAAAGGAAAGGTTTTGTATGTGATTACTGTATAGATTGGTTTTGTGAATTTTGAGTAGGGACTTAAGTTTGTTAGAAAGGTAATTGTAGTTTATCTTGTCCTCCGGGTAGTGTGTGTGTTGCCATTTAGATCGGGCTCTTCGTTTTTCAGCAATAAGTTGTCTTAATTCAGGAGGGAGATTGGGTGAATGGGGATAGGGAAGACTGTGGGTAGATGAGTCCATAGCTGATTGTTTAATATCATCAGAGAGTTTGGCAATTGCTTGATCTACATCAGAAGGTGATTTTAATTTAGTATTAAGAATTATTTTATTTGATAAGGTAATTTTGAATTTGTTCCAGTTTGTAATGCCCGGAGTAATAGTAGGTCTATTTTTCTTCAACGAGGGTTGAGCTCCGATGAGCAGCAAGACAGGTGTATGATCAGAGGCTGGATCTATTAAATTTATAATTTCGGTGGAAAAATGATTAGGAAGATTGGTGATAAAAAAGTCGAGGTTGTCTGGGTGGCGGTTGTTGTGTGATGGCCAGTACGTCGGAGAGAGAGGTGCTATTACCTTGAGATGATTGTGCAAGATGAAGTGTTGAAGAGCTCGGCCCCTGGTGTTGGTGTAGCGGCTCCAGGTTTGGTGTTTAGCATTGAAGTCAGCGCCGATAATATGCGTGAAGCTTAAAGTTTGAGAGAGAATACTCAGTTCAGCCGAAGGAAAAGGTCTTCCTGGGGGAAAATAGCATGAAGAGATGGAGATAGTTTGAGAGTTTATTTTTATTGATATGCTTGCTGCTTGAATATTTGTAGACAGATATGGTTGAAGGGGGAGATGGTCAATTTTATTAGAAATGAGGAGAGCAGCACCTCCATGTGCAGTACCATCAGGGTGGTCTGCTCTAATTATATCGTAACCAAATATCTTAAGTGAAGAGGTTTTAGTAAGGTGAGTTTCGGAAATAAGTGCTATTTGAACTTTTTTTTCATTTAAAACTAATTGTAATTCATTTAAATGTAGTAGGATGCCGTTAGCGTTCCATAGAAATATTGAGAGTTGTTGAAAGTTATTTGTTGGCATTATTTATAAGTTTATCAATGACTGTTGTAAGAAGTGAAATAAGAGGATTTATTAATGCTTTAAATTCATTGATAAATGATGAGAGTTGAACAGACATATTTTGGTATTGGTTTTGATTGGTGTTGGTGTCTTGAGTATGAGAAGAAGAATCTTGATTTAATGGAGGGAAATGTTGTGAATAAGCTTGGTGCGTAGTTTCAAATGTAGGTTGACGTGGAAGGGAACTTTTATTTGAGATTTTTTTTGAAGAGTTCTCTAATAATTTTTTTTTAAGATCCAGGTGGGATTGGCAGCCTCTAAAGTTGGCCGGGTGATTACCACTGCATAATGCACTATTAGCCGGATAGCTGCGTTCTTTGGAGCATGCTGTTGTCTCGTGTTGCTCGCCGCATCGGACACAACGAGGTGGATGATGACAATAACTGCGAGTGTGGCCATAATTCTGGCAACGGTGACATTGCGGAATTTCTTTTTTAGGGCGGGGTGTTTCAACTTTGATTTTAGTATAACATAATGTAGTAAGTTTGAATATATCGGAGTTTGTTGGATTCGGTTCTAAATCAATAAAGAAGATCGGGAGGGGGGAATTGGTAGTCTTGTTAGTTACAGGCATTATGTTTCGAGTGATAAATCCATTATTTAATAGTTCTTGTTGAATAAAAGAAGTATCGATTGAATGATGCAAATTTCTGATTACAACACGATATGCTTTTTCCTCTTTTAGTTGGAATGAGTGAAATGAAACGTTATTATTCTTGAGGTAAGTGACTACTGATCGATAGGAGTCAGAGCTGTATGTTTGGAGTTTAATACCTTTGGTGGAGCTTTTGCAATCGAATCCAGATTCATCAGTTAATTGTTTAATTTTTTGACAAAAATTATTATAGTTTATTTGTTCTTGAATAAATATAGGAGGGGGTTTTGAAGTTTTATTTTCAGGGATAATTGGATTTGTAACTGTAGTTTCCATTGGTTGAGGTTCATTAAGAGGAGCANGAATTAATTTATACTGTACATATGCGAAAACCGTTAATTTCTAATATTATTTTGATAATAATGCAACTTATATCATCAAATGTATTTTATTTTGCTCATGATGCCATTAATATTTAATATAATGCATTTGGAAGTAATTTATCATTAGTTACTTTTTAATTATTGTCAATTTAATGATGCGTTTTCATTTAAAGGAATACGATTATTTTTTTTAGACTACTAACAGTTAATAATGTTTTTTAAATAAATGTAATAGTAAAAGCAATAGATTTTTACCTGGCATTAAAGTCTGAATAAAAATGCTCACTGCCAAAATCGATGGTAACATGTCTCCTATTCTTTTGTGAAAAAATAAATATCTAAAAAAAAAATTCACCAAAATATTAGTTCAATAATTATGATATAAATTTATTATATACAATGCATATTGAATGTAAAATTATTTTACTATAAAATAGGATTAACTGAGTTCAAACACATCTTAATAATAAGTGACGTTATAAGAAAAGTATCATTTATTTTTCGAGAAATTATTGTTGTCTTATTTTTACTATAATCTTATGGCATTTATAATTTTGAATTAAAATCATAATTTTTATACCAGTATAAATTTATTTGAAATACAGCTATGCAAGATAATATTTGTTAAGGTATTATTTAGTAATTATTTTCGTGGAACTATTTTTTAATTATAGGAATAATATTGAGTTGTTATGAACTTATGTGAAGTTGGTCCCGTATTTACTAGTTTGAATTTATTTAATATTTCAGTAGTAAAATGTTTCAAGAATAATATTATGTTTGCTAAATAAAAACATATCGGTTAAAAAACAAGTTTTTTTGACGTTTCCATGATGATAATAACTGGAATTGGACCTCTTCAAGTAAATAAATAACTTTCAAAATCCATTTTATATTTGAATAAAATACTCATTCATACTTTTTAAACAGCTATATTTTACAACATATTATATAGCAATGTGTAATAGTTATATAAATTTTATATTTTAGATCTATAGTAATGTTGGTTGAATACTGTTTTAAAATTTATCTTGATACTTTGTAGTACTGTCCCAAAACTTAGCCACTTATTGTTTGGTAGTCCGTAAAAGCATATTACTTATACAAAAGTATACCAGTATTGTAACTTAATAACTTAACAAATATGCGGGTAAATTTAATGGTAAATTACTACTCCCGAGTCAACTGGTATAGTAAAACTATTTATTAAAATAATATTTACATATAAGTAAGTTTTGATTGATCTAAAAAACCTAAAATAAATTATGGTAAATTTTATTTACTAAATTATGTTCCGTCCCTAGGAGTTTCTCTGGTAAATACTTCAAAATCTTTATGGATATTATGTTGTTTTTTTGTGTTAATTATTGAAATGACCTTCGAAAAATACTGCTGATAACTTATTTAGTTTTATATAACCCATTATGACAAAACGGTTGAAGTAGGAATACCCAAGAGGAATGGTCGAGGAAAATTCATATAGGTGAAGTTAACTTGTTAAATAAAAATGTAATCAGTCAATTAAGTTTTTCGACCTCTCCAAACGGGCATCGTTCAAATCGAATTACAGTATTCACTGCTTTAGTCGAATGAACTTTGAAAATGTCATCCATCTCACTAGGGTATGAACTCTAAGAGAAAGTAAATTACAAAACAGTTCATCACGTTCAAAAAAATGGTATTTGTTCAATAAATAAACTAGATGATGATCACTCAATTAGGTAAACATAATTTGTTAAAACATATTCCATATATCTAATTGGTGATTGATTTCAGTTTCAAGAATTAACTTATTAACAACTATACTTTTATAATAATAATCTTTATTTGAGCCAAATAACATTACAGCAAATAAAAAATAAATTTAATATATAATACATGGCACCTGCCCAAATAAGAATAGCTTGTCTGGGGTATATGACTCATCTATCCCATCCCATCTATCTCATCTAAGATGAGTATTAATAACTTTTTATTAGAAGTTCAAAATGATATTGAATTATACATATTCAATCATACACTTAAATTATACAATACGATTTTACGTGCAAAGTTATATGCTAAGAATAATTGTAAAACTATAAACGTTTCTAAAATATCCAATATAACCGTGAGCTTATGACAATATCAGTCAAAACACTGTCTGTAGGAATGTTTTCAAAAGCAATTTATCCGTCATCGTACTTTGCACTATTGAGCACATTGTTATGTGAAGAGAACTTTTGCGTGTATTATTGAACATTTTCACTACACGTTCAAATGCAATAGTTTTGTCATTGTATTATGTGCAACAAATCAACATAGTTGCTCTATGAAATTACTCATGACACAAGTATACCGCTATTCAACGTAGTAATATATTCTCAGTGCACTGTGGTTTAAGTTATCTTCCTTATATCTCCAAACTCAATTATATAGTTTTAATAATGGTTGTTGTCATTTTGTCTAAAATTAACATCCTTAAAATTTATCCGTTCATTCGCCAAACTCCCTCTTTTTGTGCTCAAATATATTTACTACGCGGCATTTATTTGAAATTATAGAACTATTAACTATTATCAGACTTTTCAAGTTAAACAATAGATATGATTGTGAAATAATTTTATTTTGTATTTTGAGTATTTTATTTTGACAAAAATTTTTGAATGGTGTTTTCATGCTTTGTTTGTACAGTATTTTTTATGCTAATAAGTATCAACTACCTAGAAAGTTACAACTGTATTATTTTCTAGAATAAACATTTCCATATTCTTTGAAAAGTATCGTTGTCAGTCGAATCAAGTGTTGCAGGCAATTTTTTTACTATAACAAAATTTTAACTACCACTCTTGCTAACTCATAGTTTAAACTACCTAAAAGCCTTAAATGACCTTTAGCTTAAAATAATGAATTAAAGCTACGTGGTTATTTTTATAAAATTTGTTTTTTTAATTTCATCATTAAAAATTGAACTATATTTAACTCGATTTAAAGCCGAAAAAATGTGTTTTATAAAAATACATTTATTGAATATGATAAAATAGATATAATAATATCCATTTTAAAATGGATATAATAAGAAATGACTGGTGATAAAAATTACAATACCCGCGTTTAACCTCCAGCCATCACTATAAATTGTTAATAACTTCTGGACTCATTGTGTAAAATGTTCTTAATTAGATCATTATTTATTAAATAAGCTAGTTAATCATATATATTATCTATCTGAAAAACAATGTCTGACATCCTTATAAGGTATAAAGGACCAACTTAAAAAGTACTTTACAATAGATAAATTGAGAAAAACACGTACTTAAAAAATATTATAAATGTTATTTTTACTTTTTCATTAATTAAGTTGCTCATTATTGTTTAAACTGTCAATAATTCTCTGAAAATGGAACTATGTTAGTCAATTCTTAAGCTCTTCGTTATATGCATACTCCTCTCCCGATTTTATTTTATAGTCTCAGTCTATCATAGTTATTTATTTTTTCTAGAGGGAAAATATTATTATTTAAACGAATCAATTTAAAATTCAGCTATAATTAAATTAAAATGGGTGCAAACTCCACCAATAAGCGGGTATGGAACTAATTTCTCATATATATCGCCGTAGGATATTTTTGGAATTATTTTAATTTGTAAAATAATATTCTACAATTAGTTTACTTTCATATAAGAGTTTTTGATTAAACCTCGTAATTATTTCCACTACTTATTTTTGTTTTTATAATTATAGAAATTTCTAACGTAATCATTCTAAATGAAATTTCTTTTTAGTGAACTTATTAACTTTCTTATTCTTATTTGTGAAAAATAGTACAAAATTTGTACTGAATTGTTTTTATGTGCTTTTAACAAGCTTTCAAATTAAATTAAATACATATGTATGAAATATAATACAATTATTAGAACTGAAAAATATTTTTTTTATTTTGATGACTATAATAATTGGTTACCTGAATTTCAGATAATGGTAATGAATACATAATTATAACCAAGTAAAAATAATATTTCACTTGAAAAGTTTAATTAGTAATAACATTTAATGTACCACAATAAAAGTGATTTAAAAATTTATATTATTTGAAAATTATTTACTGTTATTGCAGTAAATGTTAATTAAGCAAATGATATTTTTATAAAAAAAAGTATGTCTTGAAAGCTTGGAAATAGACATGTTATTATTGTATTCAATAACCAAGCATAAGAGCTTGTTTAATAAAATATATTGAGATTTATTTCTATTCAGCTTTAAACAACAATATAAATTTGAAGATCTTTTGAACGATTGCAGTTCAACAGTACTTTATTGTTTTTCAGGATTATTTAAAATTTGCAAAACGTTATGAAATACTATCATGGAGAATACTTAATTACTTGATAGGTATTAATATAAAATCGCCAGAAACATCGCTTAATTTTATATCAAAAGATTTGTCTAACTCTTTGACGAATTACCTTATCTTTTAAGCTCATGAAAATTAAATGAGATTTATGGAATTTTAGATTTTTATGTTTATCAAATCGGAATGAAACATCAAATTCGTTTCTTAGTATAATTATGAATAAGATTCCACAAGTTATTGGTATTCGTATTAGAAAAATAAATTGTTTGATTCCATTTATTTATTTTTATATGTCATAAGCTTGCGTTTCCCGGAGTCGTGCTGGTTTTGTGTTATATTCAATGCAATGTGTTGTACTAAATGATTGCGCATACAACAACGTATCGTTCGGCATACTGCGACCGTTTCATTTTTACAAACGAAAAATAATAAAAAGCAAATTTAATATCTAAAAAAAAGGATTTTCATTTTAATTTAAATAGTTTTGTACAGTCACGCTGAGATTGTAATAGTAATATTTAAAATATTGGCATTACAATTTTTCATGTTATTAAAACTAATTTCAACAAATTATGATTATACTATTATTTCAAATGTCCAAAATTTTAATGTAAATTATTAAGTTTTATGATTAATTATGATTTTTTTAAAATAATATTTTTATTCTAAGGTGTAAGGTTTTATTTATAGTTAATAATAAATTGCTTTTTGGCTAATATTAACTTTGATCTTATTTATTATACATTACACTGAGAGTACTGTTATAGAAAGTTATATTCAGAATTTCTTTAAAATTTATTTTATAAATTTATTAAAAATTATATATATTAGGTGAGAAAAAGATTATATTAGTACAAAATGCTAACCGCTAATTTAAACGCTAGTTTACATTTAAATTGTCAGTAATATTGAGTATTTTCTTTTTTTCAGAATTTTTTTTTACAACACTGTCAGAGTAATATTTTTTTTTATATTTTTTAAGAACGTTTATGAAATGGTGTAAGGAATTTTGAAGTTATTCGGGAGTAAAATGGGTTATATTTACTTAAACAATATTTGTTTCCAGTGGCGTCAATTGGTGAGGGGCAACATGAGCATTCGCCCCAATCTAAATATTCAGTACAAATCGGGGCCGGTCGAGATATACTCGTACTGAACCGATCCATATGAATCGTTTAATTTTAATTTACTAAACATCTAATTTATGAAAAATAGTAAAAATCCAAACTTTAGTAGTGAAAAAAATAGTATTTCATAAGAAAAATGATTTTTCCCATTAGCTTTTAATATATTGCGCAATTTTGAAATCACTTTGTCAATAGTAATCATAGATAATTCAATCTTTTGTTATTAGTTATCACTTGATTTTCAATTAAACGTTTTTATGATATTATATACGCAATAACTGGATTGTAAAGCATTATTATTATCTGATAAAATAATATGTTAAAAACCTACAAAATAGTGAACATATTGCAAAAATACATTTTTATATGTTAAAATTGTAAAAAGAAAAATTGTAATATATTCATTGAAAATATTTTTTTTTATATATATAAAATGAATTTAGTTATTTATCTATGGGTGAGAAGTGGCGAGCGAAGCAATCGGATTTGTAAAATGATAGATCTATATATCTATAGAAATTTATAGATTAAATAAAATTAAAAGTTTAATAATTTTACAGAAGAGTTACACAAAATCTTTTTTGGGAAAAATTTGTCTTTAAACATTACAATTGATTAAAAATTATTTAAGTATAAAAGTAACTATCATACTAAAATATATTTCTTTGTTGTTACAATCATATAAATATTAACCATGTTGAAATTAGTAATTAAAAAATAAGTAAAAATAAAATAACTTATTTTTTTTTTAATCTGATAAAATACACATATTTAATAAGATCTAGTATTTTTTATATCACATGGTAAATTAATAGCAAAATTAAATTTTAGCTTATGTAGGTATCGTAACGGCCATCATTACAATAAGAAAAAAACGTTTCTAATCTGGTTAGATAAAGATAGTGTTAACAGAAAACAGATTCGTTAGATAAAAAACCATTAAGAAAAAAATGTGATCTTTGACATTTGTATATTTTAAACTTTGATGGTAAATTATAGCTATAGTAAGTAGCAATCTTAAATGTTTAAACGTCAAAAACACTGTTATTTACTACGTTATATGTTTAGTGGCTTTAAATCAGATAATATTTTTTCAAAACATGAAAGTACACTGCATATTGAATGTTAAATTCATTTTTAAGTTATAAGTGTACTCAAAAAGTGTTCAAAGTTGAAGAATGGCAAAACAATTTTAAAGAAGGCACGATTTTCTTCAAAAAAATTTGGTCAGCAGAAAATGTTGTGTCAAATTCAAGTAAGCTGTATATTTGTGAAAATAGAAGGAAAAAGAGAATTTCCGCATTAAATTATTATTTAAAAAGTAATAGTTTATTAAAAATTATTTGGTAATTTTTTAAACGGTGCTAACAATATGCCTAATATACCTTTGGATATGTGTTACAAATTATTAATGTTAATTTGGCACACATCGTTCATGTTATCGCACAATGTGATTGTAAGTTTTTTCGAAACTCATTTTAGTATAAACGAATTTAAGTTGAAGCCGGAGGCCACTAGCTCATATTTACTTGACACATACGAATGATATTTTGTACAACGTTCATGCAAAACAAAATTGGAATCTACGAGAATAGTTTTTATTTTTTTATTTCAGTTTTCTTTTGGTGAACCGAAACGATTTCATCCGCGACGAATATTATACGAAAGAAAATCTAAGAGAGAAAACAACAAGAAAAACATTATTAATTTTTAAAGAGATGACCTGTCTCCTACATTTACGTTTTACTTGCTAAGCACGAAAAACTCGCTTAAAAGTCTTAATAATAAGATATTAGTTTTACCTTAAAACAAATTTTTATTTTGAAACCAAAGAAAAAATAACTGTTTTATGTACATTCTTTATACAAAGGTAACCATAAAATTAAATAAAATCCTTTTCTTCATCGACGCAGAAAATTGTTTTTATCCCTCAAATATATTATTGAAACTTGAAATGTAAACCTTAGATAAACTTAAGTGACTTGTTCAGATATTGTATTTTACTTTGTTTACTACAAAATATTATTAAATACTTAAAATTTAATATTGTTAATCATATTTCTCTATCTTAGGACATTAAGCTTCCTTAAGCCATTGTTTGTTGCTCAATTGTGTTTTAAAAATATTGAAAATGCCTCAATTAAGTATTACTTAATACACTGACGTAAGGATATTTTTATGCTATGTAAACGAACAAAATATTTAACCTTTCTTATATATCATTATACAATACTACATGCAAATTATTAGTTTTTAACAGTTTGTATCCGAATAAGCTATTGTATGTGTTGAAATTTCAATTTAAATTACTGCGTTGTTACTGTTTTACATTTTATGAAAATGACGTTTTTTAAAAAAATATTACGTCTTGACTTTTTTTATGGGAGGAATAAATTGCATTGAAGTAAAAATAAATATTATGTTTTATTTTAGAGATATACATAAAAGTTATAAGATGTTGATCATTTCAAGTAGACTTTAATAAAACATGTATCTTTTTGAAAATTATGAGGAATGAATATCGGATTTTAACCTTTAATACTTCAGTAATTATTAACAGTAGACGTTCAAGCGTTTTTCACTGAGGGCATTTGAATGATTCAACATTTATTTTTTTAACCTGCTTAATAAACATTTAAATGCTTTTTACGAGAGTGATACTAATGTATTATTTTATAATTTATGAAAAGTCACTTAAAGTGTTTATTCTTTTAAACTGTTGATTCTTATAATTGTTCAAATATTTAGAAGAAAGTTAAACTTAAGAGTAGAATAAAATATTGGTGTTAATTATTCAAAGGCTAATTTTCTAAATTAATAATATAATTTATTTAATCATGAAAATATGCATAAAATATCTGATCATTTTAATTTTATCATTTTTGGGTTACATTTACGCTCACAAAATGCAATAAAATAATATTGAAATCAACTTAACTACAATGCAAGTTATGGAATTTATAATAAATTTAACCTGTACTTTTTGCTGTTTTATAAATATAATCTTACTTTTAAAAAATCGTATATATTTTTAAACGAATAGTTTGGGCTGAGTTACCCAGAATCGGACTGAACTTTGTTACTCGCAAATAAAAGATCCAGGAAACATTGAAGACATTTAAAGTGAGGACCGGATTTTTGTTGTTCAGTGAAAATAAATACATATATAGTATTAAGTGGGCACATCCAAAAGAGATATGGGGCATGCATCTCACTGTCTTGTTTCTTTTTTAATATTTTACCTTACCACTTAAGCAGTGTCACCTATTATGTGACTCCGTACAGCATCTACTTGTATAACTCCAATTCACTGTCAACATTTACACTGTTTCCTTGAATTTTATTCACACTGTCGTCTGCCAACAGTACACAAAATTACAGTAAAAAAGTATATATTATTTTCTTTTCTCCTTTAAAAACATACCTAAATTCTAGAGAAGGCTTTTACTTTACAATTTTGAATGGACAAGAGACACCTAATATATTTTCCCGTTTATACTATTCCCATATTCCACATTTTTTCCTTGAGTCCATATACCAATTTATAACCATTAAAAGGATTTTTACTAATTAAGAAATGCAAATAAATCAACAAGTTAAATGGTAAAGGTAATAAAATAAGTATAAGTATATATATGAATAAATTATTATACATATATTTAACAGAATGGTAATAATTTCTTACATTATAACAATGCATCTTCTAATTGGAAAATTAATTTTGTTTAATCAAAATAAATATTTTTTGAAGTATGACGCGTTATTTTTTTATTTTATAAATACAATTTTAAATATTATTTATTTTTTTATTATATAGATTATTATTTATACCTAAATTTATGCACTGTAGGTCCCAAGAGTCATATATGAATGAATGTCTATCTTAACATTTTTACGTTTATGTTGTATACATAAAAAAACACATAGTTTATATGTTCATTTAGAGAACGTTCGTTAATTTAGACGGTTTTGAGTCAACTATTCTTTTACCGAAAATCTAGAGTCGAAATTTGATCTGTTACCAATACATTTTACTTTTGCTCTAGAGTTATTGAGCGTTGACTTTTCATAATTTTTTACTCAAATTTAAACACAGCTCTTTTTTTTAAATTATACAAGTATACAAGTACGTAATCTGGTATTGCGTATTACAAGATTACGGAACTTGGTTCACTCAACGTACAAAGAAATCAAATGACTGGAAATATTTTTGGTATTAAAGTAATAAGTGAAATATATGCTTTTCAAACGTAATCCAAGATGTCATCATTTTCAAAAGTTTACTAGGTGAGTCTTTAATTTCTTCTGAGTAATTGTTACAGAATGTGTACTGCATCCTGCTCCATTATTGTCATTTAGATAACATATTTTGACAGTAAAATATTGTTAATTAATTGCCTATCATCGATAGAAACAGAGTATTAAAAAAAAAAAACTTTATTCGTAAATCGGAAATTTAATTTGGTATTGTTGGTCAGCATACAAAAATTAAAAGAATACCACTAGATTTAATAAAAGCAACTTTAATGGTGTGGTCTAAATGTTTATATGTAATACACTTCAACCCTATAAAGAGAGTAAGAGTTGTTAGAACTTGAAAACGATGGCCCTAGATGTTTTTGAAATATGTTGATTTATTCATTACACTATGATATTTTATTGTTCGACTTTCCGAGATGAAAACTTGAGATTTGTTTTCCAAAATTATTTCGTTCTAGAATTCCGCCCATGTATTTGAAACCGTTATTGAAATGGCTACCGACGTTTAATATTCGACAGTCATTAGGGAATAAAAAAAAATACCTACATGCCCGTTTTCATTTGACATTTGAAAAGTGTCAAGTGATGTCCTCTGCGAAACCAACCATGAAGGTAGTACGTGCAAGTTTTTTTATTGTGATCACTTGTCAGATACATTGGATTTCAATCTAATGTTTTGTCAGTGTATCTTATCAATACGATTTTAAATCATTACACTTGTAAAAAGCATTGTAGTAAAGTATTCCAATAATAACAATTTCCCATATCAAATTATTATGAATTTTGTTCTTATTCGCTGGCTATAATCTAATAATTATACTAATTATTGTTATAAACATATAGTCGATTTGATTTAATTAAAACGTACTAACATGGCGCAATGAATTAATCAGTGAGAGATAACTGAACGGCGTGTCTATGTTTTTTAGTCAATAGGTACTTAACAAATTTTAATTCAATATGTTTAGCTTAACCAAGCTGGCATACAACGGATGCTCAGAAAGACAAAAACAAGACTACTGTCGGTTAGGGGTTTTTAATATTGACCTGAAAGTGTGCTGCCGACGAATATTGTACGATGTGAGGACCCGAAAATTAAACGAATTAGAAACGTTTACAGTGTCCCTCATAGCCGCCAAAAACGGCCACGTGGATTGTTTGCAATACGCCCGCGAGAATGGGTGTAATTGGAGTACGTGGACGACGCGTTTGGCGGCTATTAATGGTCACTTGGAGTGTTTGTGCTTTGCTCGTCAGAACGGATGCCCGTGGAATGACAGAGACCAAGTCTGCACCAAGCGCGATTATTAGAAAAGTGTTCACTGCTTAAATTATAAAGTATTGATTTGAAATGAATCCGCTAATTTTAAAACTGGAGAAATTTAATAAATTTTAAAGAAAAAGTATTACGAATGAACAACTTTTCAAAATCGTAAAAATGTGTAAAGAAATAACCTATCAGATTTTTTTTTCACATTTATTTGCAATGTGATTTTAATAAACCACAATATTTTAAAATAATAGATTTTTTGTGCATTTACTTGTTATAATTAATTAGTTGAATTGGGAATTTCAGTGCGCTTAATTTATAGCAATTATTAGTTTTGACTAATAATTTATAATTGTTGCTCATTATGAAATTGGTTTTTCATTGGTTTTTGCTAACCAACATTATGCATTTTATAATCTATACATTTTTCAGCTCGCTTCATAATTTTCACATTTACTATTGTTGAACTTCGATATATTAGTTGATATTAAATATTATATTTAATACATTTTGGGTAAAACTAATCAATTAATTTAGTATAATCAACCACCTGGTTTATATTTAGGGTTAAGTGCAATTATGAGCGTGATTCTTTATGAAATAAAGAACTGTATAGGAAATCGAAATTAGTACTTACACTAGCAGATATCAAAAGAATTGTAAAACAAGTCTTATACAGATAAGATAAATAAAAATTCAATACAGCCATTTTTTAGAATAAATTTTAAGAAATAATTTGGTGAAAAATTTTCTCATCAATTTTTTGTAGTTAATCTTCTGTAACATTTTAATTTTTTTAAAAATTCGAATTTTTCTGTAATTATTCTACGGTACCAAACGCTGGCTATGTTTTATAAAAAAAGGACACTAGTAAACACAATTTTTTACACTAAATATGATTTTTCTATGAAAATTGTTAACGTTCTAATGATTTACTTTAATTCAAATAAAAACATAAACAATACTTATTACTTAATAAGTAGTTTAACTCTTTAGAGATAAAACTACTTATTCTAACTAAAATTAGAATTTATTTATCATGAATCAAGATTTATATTATACTAAGTATAAGGTCTATATATTTACAAACTTGGTATTTATACGATGAGATGAAATTTGATAAGGCAATTATTACTTATCACTCTCATTCAAAAGCGTAAGTAATTTTCATGGAAAAAGTGACACGCCTACAAATTATAGTAATCAAGAAAAGATAATGTTTTCATCTGACCTTTTCTAAACACGTATTTCAGTGTTTAATACCGTAAAATAATACATGAAATTTCAAATTTTCACAAACTTTAAAACGCTACAGAATATTTACTACTGAATGTTAATAAGATATTTTTTTACCAAAATTTATTTTAGCTTCGATGCGAAGCTGAGAAGGTATTAATTTTACTATGATGTGTTTTTTTTTTTTTTTTTTTTTTTTTTTTT